AATTTTGCCCCACATAAAGCATGTGTGAGTCTCGTTTCATGTGATAATGTCAGTGTAACCCCACATAAAGCATGTAAGTCTCGTTTCATGTGATAATGTCAGTGTAACCCCACATAAAGCATGTGTGAGTCTTGTTTCATGTGATAATGTCAGTGTAACCCCACATAAAGCATGTGTGAGTCTCGTTTCATGTGATAATGTCAGTGTAACCCCACATAAAGCATGTGTGAGTCTTGTTTCATGTGATAATGTCAGTGTAACCCCACATAAAGCATGTGTGAGTCTCGTTTCATGTGATAATGTCAGTGTAACCTCACATAAAGCATGTGTGAGTCTCGTTTCATTTGATAATCTCAGTGTAACCCCACACAAAGAGTGTGTGTGTATTAATAGTACATCAGTTTCGTAAATTTGAATTTGCTTATGAATAAAAATGGTAGATTTTTGAATTCCATTTCAGTAAATCCTTGTGAGACCAGCTTCCTTAATGAAATGGTTTTCTTGAGTGATTCATTCTTAGATGTGAAAAAAGTTTTTTTTTATGATTATAACTTAAAATTATACACATGTATAATTAAGAGTGTATTAAAAAAATATTCTAAACATGATTTTCTTTCTTGTAAATTGTGTTAATTTTCTTTTTCAGGTCGTCGAAATGCTCAACGCAATTAGTAGAAGAATGACTTAACCATAAATAGCATTTCATAATTTATGTTGAGTGTTCATTTTTGGCTTGAGAAGGATTTGTACTGTACACAACTTGAAGGAAATAAAGTTCAGAAATTACCTAGTGTCTTGTTACAGTAACATCATTTTAAACATTCAGTAAAGCAAAACTATAATTTTAACCCAAAATAACATGAAAAATAAGTATATTTGAAAAAATTTAGTGCATAATTTATTGTGTCATATATGTGTGTGTTGCGATGAGAATTAAAAATGTAATGGTTTACATATTTTTACTGTAATGGTTTGTATGTAAATATGTCATATACTAAAAACCTATACATGAATACATTGTATTAATGTTAAATATGTGAAATTTGGGTAAGAGGGAAAAAGACACATTTATTTGGATATGAATACAACCTCTTTAAGTACAACAAATTTGGTTAAGGGAAAAGAGACGTATCCAGTTGAATATGAATATGTGTTTGTTAAAATAAAATTCGTCAAATTTGGCTTAGAAAAGACACTCAGTTGTACACGAATACATGTTGTTAAAGTTAAATATTTCAAATTTGGTTCTGAAACTGTAATATGGTTGGATATGAGTACATCATGTTAAATGTGATGATGCACACATCATATTCAGTAATTTAATATTTTTGCCTTACAGGTTTGTTTGTTTATATATATATATATATATATATATATAT